ATAAAGACTATCGGGACCACGCCTCGGAATCTGCGAGGAGGATAAAGGCAAATTCCTGGTGTGTTTGGAATGTTCCTACATTGCAGCTCTTCACTAAGTTGTTACCCCTGTTGGATTGGCCGGTGATAAGAGGCATAGAGTAGTTTGAATGGCCTCGTTCATTGTGATCTCCCCACGAAGACGAACCCACATGCTGAGACGCTTCTGCCGGCTTCGAGCCTTGATTGCTCGTTGAAGAGACGAACTTTCTGAATACGTCGTTCCCAGTCATTTTGCAACAAATATACGTGTCATTATCTCAGGTTTGGATCCCGAGTACCGTGAGCCGTGTTTGCGGGAATTTTTTCGAGTAAGCCACCTAAGTTGATTGCGCGTGAGGTGTAGAAACCCAAACTACTGGGTCCTTTTTCGGCGCCTATCATATCTTTAAATTTAGCTCCTTCCACTCCAAAATCCCAACATTCGACCCAGCTCTTACCTTTTTACTCAGGAAACAGGAGTAAGGAGGGGACGCGAAAGTGTTGGCCATGTTGGGAACAAAATTGTGCCCCTCTGGTGGCATCATTGTGCGTATAACCAGTCTCCTATGTTCTGCAAAGACGCATGTTTGTGATTGAGCCTAGCTGATATATACCTTTTGTCTGCATAGAACGTCGCAGATGATTGCGTTAGAGGATACTGGACTGCAATTCTACCAGCGACGGTTGTCGTGTTCAACCTTGTGCGAAGCACAGTGAGACGACTACCCGCCAAAGCTCAACCACTACATTCAACATTAACCAACTTTTTACCTCTTGACGAAGCTGTATTGCTCATAAAATCGAGCGAAAAGACAGACGACACCAAGCCCATTGCAGATCCCGTACCGGAAGATGCCGCAGTTGCCGAAGACAGTACCGACGAGGATGAAGGGCCTGTAGAAATAGATGAAGGTGCAGCGAGTGAAGAATACGACTTTTTACATGCGAAGAGAACGTCCAAATGGAAGAGGTGGTTCCTCGCCGTACCTGCCATGGTCGAATTGGCCTTCTGGATTATGTGGCTCTGTAATCTCCTAAT